TTTGCTCCTAGGCACGCGCGGTGCTTCAGATTGGTGATTCAGAACATTGGCGCACGCGCGCCAGCGGCCCCTTAACTCTCAACCTGGGGCCCTGGAAGCTCAAAGCCCCAAGCACTCGAAAAGCTCGCCTCAGTCTCTGGGCCAGTTGATCCAAACGCAGGTTGAGCTCCGCAGCCGAGGAGGCCTGTTGTTCGAGGGTTCAGGGTTACCCTGAACCGCAAACCTTACACTTCTGGGGTGAGGGTCTCAGTTTTTTTTGTTCGTGGGTCTGCGGTTCCTGAAGAATCCCCAGTTCTGTGGGAGCATGCGCTGTGGAAGCTTCTGTCTCGGAGTTGAAGCTCACTTTGGCAAGGGGTTTATTCAGTTTTGGGATCTGGCTCTCATACTCAACATGCATACCTAAACTCAATCAACCTCATACTACGCGTACATGTCCCGAAACCCATGGCCCTGACTTATTGCAACTACCTAGTTACTCGGGCAATCATTCACGATTCACAATCTGGAGAAACTGACCCACTAATCAGGCAAGCAACTCGGGCTGAGAAATAGATCGCGACCTCTTCGAAAATCTTGAGGACCACTCGCGCCTAGAGATTGATGAGGCATCTGAGTACAACGCCGCGTCTCGCGTCTATCAAATGAGTCACTGGGATAGCCACACAGCCACACCGGCATAGATTCAATCTGCAAACATATATTTGTGCGGATATAAATGAACCGATAGATGGATGACGGATATGTGTACACAGTGACTCTGTAGGAGTAGAACTCGAACATTGCAAGACTACTCTGAGTGTAAGAACCACATAACTGTGGCAGCGCCACAAGGCCATGTGCGGGGAACAGGCGGCACAAAAGAGCCGGTCATACATACAATCCTGATCAAGGAGTACAGGCCTTAGGACTTAGGAGAAGAAACACGAAGTAGCACCGAAAAGGGACCAGGAAGATTTTTGAGCATGGACTGAGGAAGTTCGGAAACATGTACATTCCAGCACCATGCACGCTAACGGATGAAACGCTGAACCCGAATCGAATGCCCGATGTCTTCCAAAGACGCCAATTGCAAAAACAATTCATATGATTCCCGAGCCCGCTCTCTCCTCGCCCCTTTCCTCTGGGCATCGATCGCCGTCTTTCTTTCTTTCTTTCTGCGGGCCTGAGGGGGGTCGCCCTCCTCCCCTGCGCTCAGAGCGCACCCCTTTTTCGAGTGGAGTGGATGGATATAATTAAGGGGTAGTGTAGGAAAACTTCCCCGACGCGAAGAAAGCGACATGGAAGCAACACGGCACAGGCACGCATCAGGCTAGTCGCTCTCCCTCCTTTTACTTCCATTATATTCTACCTGCAGTGCCCCCTGTGTTGCAAGTACATCAAGTCAACGACACGGAGATCGTCTCTCGCCTTTGCTTTGCTAGGGGCAAGAACCAAGGACCAAGGGCAGTCCCCCTGGCCCGCTCTCTCTCTCTCTCTCTCTCCCTCTCTCTCCCCTTCCCTCAAATTTCTGCACTTGTGCAACGCATACAGAAACTGGGTACATGCATACATATGCACATACACCCGCATGCGTACGGACATGCATATATACAGGCATGCAGACACAACTGCACCTGTGTGTACCGTGTACCTTCATGTACCGTCTTGTGCTGTTACCAATGCCCTGTACGAGGAAACGGAGCTTCTAGATTTGCACGGTTCGACATTAAGACTTGTGCTTAGCAAGATTTCTGCTGTTTCTATAGTGAAAGACAGTTTCTACCTCTCGCGCCACGCACAAGATCTTTCACAGGCCACGGCACATACACATGCACGTCCAGGTGCTTCAACGACTGATTGTGAAGCAACCTCAAGTGGCTTTCTGAGGAACAGCAAGCATCGAAAACCACCTGGTCCGAAACGACTGCAACATGGGGGCCTTAATCATTCGACTATAGGGCTAATGAGGAATTTATGCCATAAACATGAGGGAGGCCTAGGGGGTACTGTTATGCCTGATCTTTCTACTGGCATGTTACCCTACCATGTCTTGTGTTGTTACCCCCGCATAGATCGGCAATACGTGGCAGGGTAAGCCTGAGGCATCCGGGAACGCTTGCACCGCAAGGAAGAACAGGTTACTGTTATTGTTTCAAGGGTGTCAGATTACAGGACATCCGTGCTAACATGCTGATATGAACACAGGGGTGCAAACCCAACGGCGGTCAACTGCTACGGGGCTCCTGCAGAGCTGAAGTCTTGCGTCTGGCGTTCGGCATTCTTTACTCTACCCTGAACCCCGAGATGCTTCTAGCCTACTATGGTGCTCAGATGATATACGACACCTCAGGACTACGCCCGCAAGCAGTAGGTTCCGGTAGAGTTGCCGAGATATGATATTGTTGAAGATTAAAATGCTGCACTCAGCCAAGAGGTGCCAAGCAATCGTTGTTGATCACGGGAAACTCTCATCGCAAAGAAACCCAAGCAACCCTTTTTTCAACTGGGCCTGCAACAGCTGTCCCGGCGTGACGTTGCAAGCCCAAGCAACCCTAAACCCTAAACCCAAAACCCTAGCAACCCTAAACCCTAAACCCTTGACCAGCGAGCAGCCGCGCAGTGCTCGCGTTCGCAGGAAATTGGAAAGAGTCCTGCTCAGCTTGGGTTCAATGTAGGAGTTTCCGAAAATTAGGTTACCTTATTTGGGGGTCCTTATAATAAGGATCCTACTACTTGGGGTCATATATTCTGGTCCCCCATTGTCGGAAACCCCCATGTAGGGGCCTCAATCTTTAGAAGAGCTTTTGGGGGGAAACGACAGTATGAATATGCGGGGCTGTAAGCAAGACAAGGAGATACTATTGAGCTACTATTGCCCATCATCCACCCTATACCCTAGACCCGAATCCCCTAAACCCAAAACCTCAAAACCCTAAACCCTACAGTATAAACCCTATAAATTAAGCCCTAACCCCTATAAACCCTAAAGCCCTAAACCCTACACTCTCGCACCTGGACTTGGGAAGATGAGATTACGCTCTCACGTTCGGACTCCGAGGGCTTAGGGCCGTCTGGGGATGCCTTGGGCTTACCTTGGGCCCCAGTTGGCTTAGGGTTTTAGGGTTTGGAGCCTGGGGTTTGGGGTTTAGGCTAGATTGGGAGCGACATCCCCCAACTCATCGTGCGCGACCTTCCTGGAAAAACCTGCTGTAGGGTTTAGGGTTTAGGGTTTAGGGTTTAGGTAAGAATGAGCAAACATCGAAGGACTTGAAATTCAGCATACAAGGGACCGCAATACAGACCCTGACGAAAGGACCCCTGAAAAGGGTCCCCCCCAAAAAAAAATGGGAATCGGGCATGCTTGGCAGGGCGCGTTACAACTGGGATCCATGCTCTCCATCTATCAGTGGAGCGGATCCAGTTGCATGCAACCTCTTCGATGGGCTTCGAGGAGTTGCCTCAGCTTCGAGGTTTCAAGCTTTTTTGTCCCACCCGCCCAGCTGACAAAGTTTCAAGCTTTTGGGTTTTGGTGTCCCTAACCTAAACCCTCTACCCTACCCGAAAGCCTTAAACCCGAAACTCTACAGCCCAACACCCCAGGATTTTGGAGTTCGGGACTTCGAGCTTGGCTGGTTTAGTAATGCAGGGGCCCGAAAAATTAGAACAAGGTTTTGGTGTATTTTATACTAACTATGATTGTAATCAGGAACCCCAAGCCTTAATACCTAGAACAGGGTGTTAGTGCATAGTATACTAAGTATGATTATAATCAGGAAGCCAAGCCTTAATAATTATAACAGGGTTTTGGCGTATACTATACTAACTATGGATATAATCAGGAACCCTCAAGCCTTAAAAACTGGAACAGGGTTTTAAGCATATTCTACTAACTATGATTATAATCAGGAACCCCACAAACTAGTATTGGTAGTTATTCAGACCCCTTTATTACTTTCCACGGCTTCCCAGAGAAACCTCGCACCTGCGGCTCAGTTCCGATAAGCAAGAAGGTTTTTCGCCTGCTACTTCACAGGGACGGGCTCGCCTTGCAGGGTATTTGCGAGATTAGGGTCTAGGGTTTAGGGTTCTGTTAGGATTTGAAGGAGGTCGCTTATGACTAAGGGTCGTTTCTAAAGGATTCCACCGATAGTATGGGAACACCCCTAAATTACTATCATAGAAGTCTCTGAACTCTCGAACTCTCTTGTTCTGACTCGAGAAGGAGATTGGCCTCCACTCCAGGTGTGGATTAATAAATAGAACAGGGCTTTGGTGTATATTCTACTAACTATGGTTATAATTCATAATTATAGTCTTATCATGAACCCCCATGAAATAATCAGGAACCCACAAACTAGGTGTGGATCTCGCATACTTGTCTTTGCTTACGGCTTCAGGTTTCGGCGCTCGCAACTCGCACCATCCAGCGGAGGCGAATGGTCACTATAGGGTTCCTTTAAAGGGATCTCTATAGGGTTCCTTCAAAGGGATCTAGAGGGTTCCTTTAAAGGGATCTAGAGGGTTCCTTTAAAGGGATCTAGAGGGTTCCTTTAAAAACATCTATAGGGCTCGATAACTTACTTCTCCAATGCCCAAAAGGCTTTGGGTTGCTTACTTGCTCTCGGCACGGCCAGGCGAGGTCGATGGTACAGTCAGGCAAACATTAACGTAGGGGCTGAGTACCCTAGCCCAAAAAAGGCTAACCTTTTGATTTATAGTAGGATTATAAGAGCCCCCGAAAGGTTAAAGGTTACCTACTCAGCCACTAAGTTAACCTGAAAGGAAACTCAGGAGGGCCATATTGGACCTAGTTCGAAGTCTCCTTGCACAATTTGCTAGCTGCACAACCTCTTCGCCCGCCTTCAGAAAACCCACACGCAAGAAGGTCGTTAGGGTGTCCGAGCCTCACTTCTTGGAAGATCTGGGCAAGGGCAGAAGAAGCCGGACAAACAGCTACAATTAAGCCATTGTGCCGACATCCTTCCATATACCACCTATAGAGTTACAGATGGCAAAGAGCTTCAGCAGCACGGGTGGAGCAGCTGCGCGCTCAAGGCACAGGCCGTCAGCACCCAAAAAGCAGAATGGGCTGCTTTGGCTGCAGAGGTGACAACACCCCCACAGACATGCGCCTTCCTTGGAAACTCTTCCACCAAAAGCTCCCATTCGGCCCCAAATCGCCCGGGAGGGCTGCAGGTGAGGCCGTGGGTTGAGACAGAGAAGAGGACGCTGGAGCTGATGCTCTGCCGAATAGAGAAAGTCCTCGGCGCATCGACGTTGATCACACTCTCCATTCCACAGCCGGCGAGAAACCAGTCGCTTCCCAGCGGTCGGTCGTCCGGCAGGAAGTCGCTTGCCGGGCCGGTTTGTCCCACAGAGAGGAACTGCACTCCACCATCTGTAAACCGAAGCTGCCACAGCGACCCGCTTTCGTCCCCAAAGCCCCCATGCAGCGCCGTAATCCTCCGGCCATATCCAGCGTAGCTGCCAACACCCAAATATCTTTTGGAGCTGGGGTGGTATAGTGTGACGACCTTGCCGTCCTCGTAGATGGAAGGCTGGCACACTTCGACAGAAGCACCGGCGTAGCAGGCCCACTCGTCCTCCACCCCAAACCGGCAACCATCATGTAGGTCTTCACACTTTGCACACAGAGGATAGGCGAAGCCACCCACATCGGCGGTGCATTGCCGATCAGGGCATTGCGATCGGATGGAGTCTTCCGACTCCCCTCTGTAGCGCATCATGCATGCCTGGGCGCAGGAGATGTATTGATTGCTCCCGAGCTGCCAGTCATTGCAGCAGTAGTTCCAGGAGGAGCAGAAGGCACCGCAGGCTTCCCCGGCCCCGGCGTACGCTTGGCCGCCCAGGGAGGAGGTGGCGACGTAGGAGGATGTGGTGGTAGTACCATCTAGTCGCCGGTCTGAAGCTCCTACTACTGCGCACGGGAGAGCAATCAGCCGAAGAGCCAAGGAAACGCCCATTGCCCGGCTTGGTTCGTAACTCTGGTTTGGAGTTGCGGGTGGAGTGCTTCGCGTCTGGAGTTTGGGGGTCCAGGGCTTCAAATCGTGTGTAAGGTTAGGATCAGGACCTTAGGGCAAGAAGCTCCATTCGCCGTGCACGCGATGCCCGAGGCCTTGAGCCGTATCAGGGTCTACCGTTTCGGGTTCTGCTCGCCACAAAGAACCAATCTGCAAGGTACTACAATGACGCCGACCGTAGCTGTCATGTGCTCCATGGACAAGTGAAACCTTGACTTGCAGCAAGTTGACAGTTCTCAACATCGAGCATCAGCTGGTCGATCTCTGACATCTCAAGTTGTAAGTCAGAGATCAGCCTGCAGCCCGGGCAGAGAATGTGTGGCGAGTGCTGCAACTCAGCACTCACAGCTCATGTGAGGCGAATACAGACATTGCGCCCCCTTTTATTCCAGTGCGACGTCCTTGCCGCCAGGCAACTTGGAGACAAGCTCTGCTTTAAAGCCGAGGTCGTAGCTCGAGGCCTTGTTGACATAAGCTCCTTTGGCCTCGAAGGACAGCAGGGGAGCACATAGTCGAGTAGCAGTAGTAGCAGTAGCAGCAGCAGCTGTCGTCGCGGTCGTGGTCGTGGTGGTGGTGGTGGTGGTGGTGGTGGTGGTGGTGGTGGCGGCGGTGGTGGTGGTGGTGGTGGCGGTGGTGCGGGTGGGCATCAGGTAGTAGTTGTAGTCGGTAATAGTTGTAGTAGGTAGTAGCTAGCAGCTACCAGCTAGAAGTTAGCAGTTAGAAGTTAGCAGTTCGTGCCAAGAGGAGTTCATAGTCAGCAGTCTGTAGATGGTCGGAACTCCAGGGAACTACACTTATCTGGTGCGAGGTTTCGTGCAACAGCTTGCAGCACCATGACTCTTGCACTCAATGCTGATTGGCACATGAGAGGGTGCGCTGGTACCATCTCAGCCCAGGTACCGCTGTGCGCATGAGATAGTCGTCCCACTCCTGTGACTATACAGAGAAAATGCCATGGTTCTCACCGTCACCATCGCAAGCATCCGTACCACGCTTATCACTTCAGGGACAAGACCGCCATCCGCATCAACCAGGTCAATGATAAGACAAGCCTTTCGTGCTTTATTGCGCAGAATACTCTGCCAAGTTGACAGCCGCATGTTACAGACATGTGTGGATCCTGACATCAAACCGTCGAAAAAACGCAGGGAGTCCAATCAATATCTACTGACTATCTAAACAAACCTAAACCCATAAGGCTCTCAGGATAAACCCATCAGCCCAAAACCCAAAAGGCTCAGCACACCGTGGGGGAGCATGGACCCAAGGCACCAAATCATATAGGGGCCTCAATACGTAGAACGGAGACCTGGTATCAAATTTCTGATAGCAACATCAGGGCTGGTCCTGGTAATTACCCGGGCTTCTATATTCGTGTGACCCTGCTCGTCAGGAGTGGGGTTTCAAATTATTGTATAGAAACCTACGATAGGGAACCTGAAGGAATACAGTACTGCAAACTCATTAAACCAAGCAGCTTTGTTGGTCTCTTGTGCGCCCTCAACCTTACAGAAAACCCTGAACCGCAGAACCACAAGCCAAAACAACTTGCCGCGCCTTTGGGCTGTGTTCCGGAAAGATGACTGGCTGAGGTTCAAGGTCCAAGAACCTTGAAGTTTAGGAGTGTAGGGTGTAGACTTTCGGGGTTGAGGGTTTTGTGGGTCTCGCTTCTCACGCTCGCATTCGGCAGGCAAGGCTTCGGGCTTGGATTTTGGTTGGTCAGAGTCTACAGGCTACATACATCGACCCGGATTCTGGCCGGTTTTGGGAAACCTCTAGATGCATGTGGACACTAGAGAGACATGTTACTAGTTATTCAGATTCCTGCACTACATGCATTTCTGGCTTTGCGGGACTCAAAGTCCTGCGGTTGGTAGCGCAAACCCCCGCATGATAAGCCCAAAGCCCTACAGTTGTGGAGGTTTCAAGTGCAGTTTGTGGCATCAGCTGCAGAATGCAACAGCAAGGAACTGCTTCATGTCAACTTTTTTGAAACTCAAAACCTCTCGTGGTTCAGATTTTCTAGAAGCAAGCCCGGTGGCCTGGTCTTGTATTGAACGGCTTCGGGCTTCGGAATGCAATAAGGACTTGGCGCTGTTTGGGAACAGCTGGGGTTAGATCTGAAAAGCCCAAGCCCAAAGCCATACATCCTATAGCCTATACCCTAAGCCCTACACCCACCCTAAACCCTAAACCCTAAACCCTAAACCCTAAGCCCTACACCCGAAGCGCCCCTCAGAAATTCAAGGCCAAAGCGTCGTGACTTCCGGGATCCACCAGTAGAAGGCGGCTTGAGATTTCCTGACGAGATCGGTGTAGGCGCCTGGGCGAAGCTCGCAGCAGTTTAGGGTCTCGGGTTTAGGGTTTAGGGTACGATAAGGACTCCTATAACTTTAGGGTGTAGGGCTTCCCTGAACCCTAAACCCTAAAGTTTAGGGTTTTCGGATTCTCCTGTTTTCGGTTGGGGGCCTTTAGGGCTTAGGGCCGGAAGTCGGACATGCACTTTACTTAACTTCGTTCGGGGAGGTTCCTTAAACAAGGGGTATGGATCTTAGACCATGCAGGCACCAGGAACCTCAAATGCGTGAAGAGATCCTCTATGCCCTGAGCAAAACCTGCTCTCTACTTACCCTGATCAATGAAGCACCCATAGCCGCTCGGGGCCTCGGGTATTTTGGGGGTCTTTGTGGGATTTGGGTTTAGGGATTTAGGGTTTTAGGGATTTCTGTGTTTTGAGAGTCACCCCTCCGTTTACGTGCAGTTGAGTGTCGGATTTCACGACTTCTGGGTTTAAGGTGTTGGGCCTGGGTTTCTTGCTGTTGCCTGCGGTCCTGTAGGTGCGACAGGGTTTGGAGGGCGTTCCGCTTTGCCGGTTCAGGTTATGGCTGTAGAAAGCTAAGGGTACCCTGATCAACCCTAATAAATCGAACCTACTAATTACGACTTAGCATGAAGAACCCGACTAGTGAACAACCTAACAACTATGACCTGGTTTAGCATCAGAACTTTGAGCCCCATGCTTAGAGGATCATGGGACTTAGTATAGGGTTATAATTGAGGTAACTATACTTATACCCCCAATGAGGGGACTTATAACCATACTTACTAAGTCCCATGATCTTTTGAGTAATCGTCCGAAGTCGGCCTTGCGGGCCCCTGAAAACCCTGACCTCCTTAAAGCAGAGCTCGAACCAATCCGGCGTTTGGTTGGTTCAGGGCTCTGTGGCTTGGGGCCTCTACTGTCTACCCTTCCAGAAACCAACACAGTTCCTGAAGGGGACAGTTGCAGACAACCTTCCTCTTATAAGATAAACCCTAAACCCTAAACCCTAAACCGATTAAGTTGGCTTCCTTGATAGTTCCAAAGGATGCTAACTCCTAAAGTCCTAACGCAGTTTTTTCCATGGCCTTGAAGGGGAACTAAGGCTGCTATGATATTTAGGGTTTGACACGTTTATGGTATGAGGTTAGGGGTGTTCCAGAAAATCCTGATAAGCAAACTTCAGAAGTACGTACTGTGAATCAATAAAGGTGTTTCTAACCCTTCCGAAGACCTATTTTGCCCTCAACCCTAGATCAAGAACCCCTAAACCCCAAACCCGAAACAGGAATGATCAAGAACCCCTATAAACCCTAAACAAGAAAGACCAAGAACCCCTGAACACTAAACCCGAAACCCTAAACAAGAAATATCAAGAACCGCTATAAACCCTAAACAAGACAGAATCAAGAACGTTGAAAATCCATTAATCACAACGGACTGCACGATGCTCTCAGTAGTTAGGACTTAGGGCTTAGGGTTTTGCGCATCTAGTTAATGTAGGGGCCTTAGTTAATAATTAGAATAGGGTTTTGGGGCCCCTATATACTATATAATTATAATGAGGAACCCCCAAAAGAGTGTGGGTAATTATTACGGCCCCCACGTTAAGACTTACTCTGAGTTCCTATGCGTTGGCATCACCATGCTTCCTCTCAGCGCATGCGATGGAGGCAGTTTTTACAAGCAACACGCGATACGTTTGGTCACTGGCCCAGTAGGTGCATGTTTAACTTTCAACATCTTTCGATGCACATACATTCTACGACGCACGATTGCAGCCTGAAAAGGAAGTGTATCATGGGCAGCGACAAAACACCTCCATACTCCATACCAACAATCGGAGGCAAGCAACATCATTGTAATTTTGGCAGCCGGCCAAAGCAAGGAATGCGTAGCGGGATCTAAGTGCGGGATCCTGAGCTGCAGTTGATACAAGGCTCACGGGCGTGAGGTTTGGGGTTGAGGGTTTTGAACTTGCTGTTTTGGTTGCGAGGGTTGAGGATTTAGCATGGAAACTTTGCTGTTGTTGTCTTGGTTGTGAGGGTGTTCGGGTCTCTTGAATTGGTAGCTATCCCAAGACAAAATGACACCTTTTCCATGTCCTACTGGGCTCCGGAAAGGCTAGGGCCATGGATTCACGGTTTAAAGTTTAGCATTTAGGGTTTAGGGTTGGTTGCGATGGGGGCCTTGCGATCTCGCAACTAGGATACTGACAGATGGCCTATGGGGAGGGTTATACTGGAATATCGGCGGTGGGACTCGCATCAACAAACAAACGCACAAGCATAAGCTGAACATCCCCTTAAACTATAAGAAAAGTGGAATAGACAGGGTTTTGGTGTACGTTGTACCCTGAGCATCCCATATTGATT